ACGATTTTAGATTTAAAAAAAAAAATAAGGACTTAAATTGCCGGAAATGTGAAGAAATATCATTTTTTTTCTAGGTGTGTATTGTCTATGCGCAATAAAAGGTCTTTGTTCGACTTATACTTCGCATTAAATGAGAGGCAAAAAAAAGGATGGGTGGGGGGGGGGGACAGGGGATAAATTTACCGTAAGCGCATCAAACCAGCGTCCCTTCCATATTATGAGATAAGCGATACGCGTCTTTCAAACTCCTTTTTCATTTTCCCCGAGACAATAAATTTCACAGGATAAAAAAATCAAAAGCATAAAAAAAAAGTTAAAAGCTTCTAATAAAAAGAAGTCCATCATTAACGATTTCACAATAATAATCTTAGATTTCAAAAGATATGAAAATAAACTTTAATAATAATTCAAGTATCGCGACACTATACAATTCAATGTCAAAAAATTGTAAAAAATTGATTTCCTTTCTCGATAAAGTTATCCTGAAATTTTCGTTAATATAGCGCGAATGATAAAGCAAAATAGAACATAATCATCGCGGTGTTATAAAATAATTAATTTGCTGAATCATTTTGGTTTTTAATGCAAAAATTGTCGGTAATATAAAATTTGTTGAAAATTCATTGGGAGGAAAAATGTAGATTAAGGTCAATTCTAATTGTGTTCTATTTAAAGTATTAAAAAAAAAAAAAAGAATGTCAAAGAACCATTAATAAATAAGGTATAATAATTTCATTAAAATTTTAATTTAATCAAGTATAACAAAAAAATTATACAAATATTTATTCATTTTATCTATCACTAATTATAATCGTTTAATTGGCAAAAGGATTATTAAGTATATATAAATATCTATATTAGGGTATGATAATTAAAAATGAAATCAATTTTTTGAAAATACATCTATATATCTGCGTGCCATCGTTAATTAAAGTATATAATAATAAAAATCAGATAAAATAAAATCAACGTTATATATACGAGTGCTTTATTTCTTATCGAATTCGGATAAATTATTGTTCCAGAATACTCTGCACTCGAAACATTTTTATAAAGATAGACAATGCTTATCTCGATATTTCCTTAATAACATTTCTAAGTATTTGATATTAGTCGCTGATAAAATAAGATGAAAATAGAAAATAGTGAGACACTTCAAAAAGCCACGTTTATTGCAAAAAAAAAAAAAAAAATTAACTAAAATATATTTTACATATCATTCTTCAAGTTTAAAGCTTTTCTTATTTGATTGTTGTGATTTTTACAAATAATTATTCTCCGCATGTTTTCTTGCAAAATATTTGATAGATTGAACTAAAATTTTTTTTGGAGAATTCAAAAATAGAACAAGAATTTTTTTGTCAAGTACCAAAGTTTATTATAAAGTTGTTTCTTTAAAAATTGTTTATCATAAACATTGTGTAGTTCAGCTTTGTAATTTATTGATTAATAAAAACTATAAGAAATATTTTTCAGGCAAAAAATTATAGAATTTTTCATTTAAAACATAAACGTTGCGTACTTGAGTATCGTAAATATTAATATATAATCTGGCACATGACAATGAATCCTTATATGTACTATTTTTGAGTTCTTCACAAAAATTTTATCTTAATCTATCAAATATTTTGCAAGAAAACCTATACGGAAAATATTTATAATGTGAAATCACAATAATCACATAGTCATAAAAAGTCAGAATAAAATATTTTGCATCGTTTTTTTTTTTCTTTATTTTTGATTTCTGCATGATTTATACAAGTTTATGTTCCAATATATAACATCTCAGCAGTTTTTTTTTTTTTTTTGTCGACATTTATTCAGGTAATAAAACTGACCTTGACTTTTTTTTTTATATTACGCTTCTTGCAATCGAAAACTGTTTTAATAATACATGGGCAACACTGTAACTGATCATTACACAAACTAACATAAAATATGTTTGTGATTTTGTAAGCATCATGAATTGGAAAATTGATTTTATTGAATATAGGGAGAAAAAAAAGGTGCCTGACAAAGAATATGGAACTGACTTGCTGTTTTTAAATCCTTTTTTTCTTTTTTTTTTTTTTTGCTGTCAGAAGTCTTGAACGTGAATTGCTTAAGAATTTTTTTTTTCTCTTTTCATACGTGATGTAGAAACAAAAACAATGAGAAAAGAGTGTCATATTTATATGAAAATACATGTGACCTTAATCAAAAATTATTCTAGGGTGAGAAATCTGATTATGAAATCATGAAAGATTTTGTTCTAAAGTTTTTCTTTTATTTTCATTGAATGACATTCGTCACGAGAAATTCTCATGATGATTAGAATCAGTATTCAGCATGAAAGAGGAATTTAAAAAAAATAAAAAAATTCTTTTACTAATCAGTTTATTTACAGTTAAAGGATCAGGATAAAAGTAACATTGCTTTCATGATTCTTGATTTGTATAGATGAAAGCATTCGATGTCGGTAACAACCTGCATTGCGATGTACTAATTCTCATCAAGTTTATTTATAAGGTAAACATGCAATTCGATCTTCCTCTCAACTAAAATCACATTATACAATTTTAATCGAAGTGTAATAATATAGAAAATAATAATAATTAATGCAGAGAAATTGATTATTCCGATCATCGATTTAATTGGTTTTGAAATTTTTGAAAAAAGGTACAACTATTTTTGATTTAGATGCGCAGCAAAAAAAAATCTTTATACTTTTATCTAATTGCAAATTAACAAAAATTCATTTTGATTACACAATCAATGAAGAATCATATCGTTGTGAAGAAAGAAAAAAGATTGTATAAATAAATCATAATTTATTAATTTTGTACAGCAGGGTGATTAAAAATGACTGACAGAAGATTTTGTATACATGAAAAATAAAGTATAACGATATTTATTAAATATTGATTAAGCAATCAATTTAGGATTTACAAGGAAGAAGCATAAAATATTATTACAATAAAGAAAATTTGTAATTAAATTCTGAACAGCAGGAAGATAACGACACAAGAAAGTTAAAAATCTGTTGTTTTCTTAAAAAAAAAAAATTTCCATTTGTATATGAAACCTAACTGATTTTTGTCTAATGCAGCAGGAGGATTATTAATAGAAGGGCTGTATCTTTTTTCAATTTTTTTATAAAATCAAAAAACCCGTTAAACACGTTTCTATTTTCTTATTTTTTTGCATCGAAAAAAAATATTATTTTATAATAATTTAAAAAAAAGTTACAGACAATTTTAGGCATCGCGACACACGGACAGAATATCCTCTTTTTCATGGAAATGCCCAGAATTATCTACAAGACTATTTTTTTAATATATTTTAATTACTTTACAAAAGCTTTTAATTTTCTAAATTGATTGTAACTAGCTATCAAGAAATTTATGAAAAACATTAGCTCCAAAGTGTGATATTGAATAGCGGATGAAAAAATAGATTTTTAACTAATTAAAAAATCAGTTAATTATCACACCGATATGATGAAACAAAGTGATTTTTAATGAAGATAAATCGTAATTCAATGATTTTGACATTAATAATATGAAAAATTAAATAGGAAACAAACAATTCTAATTATTATGATAATCAAATAAAATTTTAATGGTTATCATAGGAGGTACAATATAATTGTAATAATATTTTATCTATTGGTAGTATTAGGAAATTTATATATATATATATATATATATATATATATATATACAATGTAATTAAAATTAATTGCCTAAAGAATTAGTTTTAGAGAATAAATTATATACACCGAGTATATGAGATTAAATTTATTTGATTCATTCATAAAACTCTGTTAGGGGTGATTCTTTTATATATATGTATCACGTATTTTGTGAATGTTCATCTTACAATGGATCACGACTCAAACACTTCTATTTATCATTACTAACAGGTGGTTTTGTGAAATTAATGCCAAATAAAAATTTATTTCATGTTTGCCTAAAGTTATAGTTGACATTCCAGTTTTTATAATGACGTCTGGGAAACAAGACAAAATTTTTTGTTATCTTAAAACTACAATTGTAAATTTTTAATCTTTGAATTCTTATGTTTTTTCTTTTGACTTTATTTCTCATTGAAATTATTGTTTCATGAGTTTGAATTTTTTTAAGCTGCTAATTAGAAAAATTTGTTTGTCTCTTCATATAAATGAAACTAGAAATATATATTTTTATTGTGAAATCATACATAATGACAATAATTAGTATAAGAAATAAAATAATAAAGAGCCAAAAGTTTTGAACGTTCAAATGAATGAAATATTTTTTTTCAATCTACAAATTATTAAAAATTATGATGTTAATGTAAATTAAACAACTATTAAATTAAAAAAACTACTTTTTACATTTTTTAAAACAATATTTTATAATAAAATTCGTACTTAAAGAAGTTACAAAAAAAATTTTGTTCATCAAAACTTTTGTCTCATAAATAATAATAATTAATTTGGTTATTCAAAATAACTACTAAATTACTGGAATAAGGCGGGAAAATATTATATACTATTTTCTAAATGTTTATTTTATATAAAAATAACTATTGAAAAAAATGTGTTTTTGCAAAAATATTTACAGTATACAACTATATATATACAATATTTGATATTCTGAAAATAACTATAACTATATTGTGAATCATTGCTCTTTCATTCAAAGAGACAAATATACAAACAATTCAAAACTATTGGAACAAGAATTTGATACTTTCAAGGCAAGTAACTTTTATTGTGAATCATTGCTGTAAAATTAATACAGAGGATAAAAATATTCTCTATTTTTGATATTTAGCCAATTTGAAAAAATATTAGATTATCAATTTTCATACTATTTAAGAAAAATCAAATACGGAAAAAAAAATTGATGAAATTATTTTTTAATTTACGTATTTTTTTTTTTTTAATATGATTTTTAAATTGTCTTTCAGAAAATGGTTATAAAGATAAGAGAATATGATTCTCTTTTAATGGGTGTAAATTGTTCATTCCTATAATTAGATTAAATTGAATTTAGTTTAAAGTATAATTAAAAGTGTATTGTTAAATTTTTTTCACATGATAAAAATAACATTGGATTGAATTTCAATTGAACACTTAACTACCTCAACATGTGTATATAGTATTCTTTTCATCCGTGTCTAAAGTCAGTTTGTGATCGGTCGTTCACCTTGAGAGATCTGAAGAGACAGGACTATAAGGCCATGGACATGTTTTTTTTTTGCAGTATGAAAACTGCATAATAAACGTAACGAAATTTTTATTTAATAATCATATTAACAACATCAAAAGAATTTTCCATATCCTGCTTTAAATATTAAGTTATATTTAAATACACAATAATAATGAAATTCAAATAAAATTTTCCAAGAATTTTTATTTATTTATTTTTTTTTAAAGAATACTAAATTTATTTATCCAAACAAAAAAATATATAAAATATTTTTATTTTGAACTAATATAATAAAAAAGAAAAAATTAAACAGACTTAGTGTTATATATATATACATATATTTTGTAATTATATATTAAAACGAGAATCGAAATTATTCACTTCATTGAAACATGTGTGTGAATAATAAATTAATAATCCATACTTATTTAAAATACAATTAATGCAATTCTCTGTACAAGGTAGATAACGTTGTTTACATTTTCAAAGTACATATGGAAATACGCACCAAATATTGTAAGTATCTTGGAAAAAAAAAAGAAAAAAAAAATTTATTCTATCAAGAATTGTTATCAACATTTCCACCGGTTGAAGACAACTTTTTAATCTCATTTTAGTAAGAATAAAAATCAATATTTGCGTCTTTTATGCGTACAATTTCATAATTAATATTTAAAAAGGCGCAATTTTTTTTTTCTTTATATTATGAAAATTTAAAAATAATATATTATTTTACACATAATGGTTATATATTATTAATCACAAAAACTGGTAAATAGAACTTGTTTAAAAAAAAAATTTATAAATTGTATAACACACGTGAGAAATATCGTTTTGTAACACGTGACACCGTCAAAAATGATTTTTTATTTTATCAATATTTTCTCAACTGGAAATTAGTGGAAAAGAATTAGTTTATGTTTTTGGAGCATGCACTTATAATATCCGTTTTATATATGTATACATATATATATATATATTTTATGCATGTATCAGTTAAATCTGATTTAGTTGTTATTTGGAGCACGTATTTTATTTAAATGAATTGCTCTTAAAAAAAAATAAAGTTTCAAACCGCAGTATATACATACATATATATATATATATATATATATATATATATATATGAATTCAGTGAAATGGATTGATGAAAAACAAGTTTTCACAAATGTCATCTTAAATGACAAGTGATGAAGAAAAGAAAATTAAATTTCATACACGATTCCTATAATTTTTCATTCATCTCGATTGAATATTTCTCGCAATTGCATATGTAAATACAGAAAAGTATTAAACAATTTTCTTAAAACGTGTTTTCCAGCTATACAGACAAGTGGTACAGAGAGGATATAATTCCGCGCATCATTACTCAGGCGTGTCAACATTACCGGTTCAATATCGAGATCAATAGGTAAAAAGTGCCTCTTTGTGAGAAAAAAAAAATTAATCAACGATAAAGACATTAAAACAAAAATTTTTTTTTATAAAACAATTTTTTTAAAAATGAGAAAATTTTTTTTTTTTTTTAAATAAGATAAACAAAAAATTTACCTGGACTGAGTAATATATATATATATATATATATATATATTAGAAGAGTTTGACTATTTAGAAAAATTGATTTGACAATTTCTCCAAAATGGAAATCAACTTTGAGCGGTTTTTCTATTTACACTGAAAATCGTTGTCTATATGTCCTTTTTTCTTTTATTTATTTTATTTAGAAAAAAGTTAAAAATACAGCGACTATCACTTTTTTTTTTGCAACACGCTCAGCGTGCGCGACACCAACGGCGGGTAATGCGCGACTGAAGCTATAGACAATTTCAAACTGTACAAACCGCACTGGCACACACAGGTTCTTACTACTTAGCTTGAGTCAGTATGACGTAGTCAAGGGAATACACCTCTGATACGACGTACAGTATGAATCATTAATAGCGACAAAAATAACGCTATAGAATCTAATGTTTGACCATTGACGTGAACGTCCCGATAATAAGCTCTATGCAAAAACTTTATATTACAGAGAAGTTTTTCTTTTTATATGTATTATAACTATATAATGATTTTATCTTACAAAAATATATAAATTTCTCACAATTATAAATATTATATATCCCACATAGCACCCAATACCCAAAATTCCTTGAAACTTGACAGAACCTCACACGGCGAGATTAGGAAACTTCAGTGGCAAGGTTCATACAAGTTTGTGTCGATGTTTAAATGTCCACATGAAAAGAATATTTACACGAAACTTTGAGGGAATATTACCCTATAAATATTCACGTGCAATGTTCAATCAATTCTACCTATACTTATTATAAAGAAATTTTTATAACTATAGGCGAAAATGTACTGTCAATATTGATACAACATTGACTGAACATTGCACGTGAATATTTATATAGTATAATATTCCCTCAAAGATTCGTGTAAATATTCTTTTCATGTGGACATTTAAAAATCGATACAAACTTGTATGAACCTTGCCACTGAAGTTTCCTAACCTCGTCAATGATTGTGAGGTTCTGTCAAGTTTCAGGGAATTTTGGGTACTGTGTGGGATATATTTTTTTTAACTATTTATTTTGTCAATGGACAAAATCGGATTTTATCGGCAGGTTCAGCAGAGAGGAAGCGCCACCATGAAAAAATGGCAACGATGATTAGGGTACGGCCACAAAGTCGTAATGGTAACGTATAATGGAGCGGTCACACCTCGGCTGCAGAAGCAGTTGCCCATGGCAACCGTGTGAGAGTAAGAGAGATAGAAGATTTTCCATCTCTCTTACTCTTACATGGTTGCCATTGGCAACTGCTCCTGCAGGCGAGGTGTGACCGCTCCATAAGAGTGTGTGAAATAAAAAAATTCTTTATTTCTCTTTCTCTTACGTTACCATGACGACTCTACTTAAGTATAGCTGAGCCTATGAATTGTGGCCGTATCTTGTCACAGTGATAAAATGAAATTTTATTTCTTAATTTTTAATTGAAAATTTGATAATTTAACCACAGCAAAAAATAAACAGTCAATAGCTGTCACTATAAACAGCTGAAAAATCCAGTTTTATTGTGATCGGCTAAACTGCAATACGCCATCTGGTGGGGACCCATTCTCTCCCTCCATTTTATTTCTTTGTCTCTCTTCAATTAATAGGTTAGAAAGAGTAGAAACAACAAAATAGAGGGAGAGAATGGGTCAAAGTTACTAGATTGTTACTAGACCACCGTTCCCAATAGCGACAGTTGCTTATTTGGTTTTTTGTCGCCACGAATTTTTCGCCTCATGAAAATTTTCCTTTAAGGCCAACGCACAATAGGTTCGCGAACGTGAAATTCGTTCGCGAACGAATCGAACATAACCTCAATTAATTGAAAAATGCATTAAATAAGGTTATGTTCGATTCGTTCGCGAACGGCATTCGCGAACGAATTTCACGTTCGCGAAGCAGTTGTGCTTAAGCCTTTACGGATTTTAGTAGGTCGAGGCTGACACTAGTTTGACAGTTTGTTTTTTGTTTACCAACCCCACATAAAGGCCTAAGCAGAATAGAAACGTAATCGGAATCGTAATCGCAAACGCATTCGGAGGAATGAGTTAGAGAAGGATAGACATATTGTTTGTCCTTCTCTAACTCATTATTCCGGTTGCGTTTATACGATTACGATTACGTTTCTATTCTGCGTTGGCCTTTAACCTTGGCATGCGGAAACCAATGTATCTGTATGCAAATTTCACAAAAGTCCCTATACGTAAAAAAATCGTGAAATTGTAAACAATGCATAATTTACGTTTGAAGACTCTAAAATATACGAATTTAACAAAAAAAGTATTTTTCAAATCACTTGAATTTGACTTATTTTGCACGTTTTTTCTTTATTTCATATCATTTTGTTTTATATGATACACTCAATTCAATAAACTAAAATTATCTTGTGTACGACAAGCGTAAAAAGCGAAATAAGCGAGTGTCGCTGTGAAGTTGGATTTCTTAATCGTAAATGAGTTCAATTGTAATTTAAAAATAAAAAAAAATTTTATTATCGCTGCGACAGAATCAGAGTGATGCTAATCGTCCCTGCGATTTTTTCGTCTCATGAAAATCCACCTTCACTGACGACAGTTTCAGAAAACAATTTGTTGTGTCACTAATATGTTTCTGTCATTACTCAACCTTATTTGACAGAAGAGAGTGTTATATAACTTAAAAATACGTTGAAAACTTAGTGAAAAATATACCATAAGTATTATTCACTTGAAATACCAACACAATAATTGTCATGAATTATCTTTGTGAAAAACTTTCTTCTTTTCTGTTTACCTTGATTACAAGATTTCAATATGTCACAACATAACCTAAAATGTTATCATATTTCCTTTTATAGAATCGTTAAATTCAAATATCACACTAAATTACTAATTTTAAGTAAAAATTCCCGAAAAGTTAGAATATTATTTTTTCATTGCGTGATCTTTGTCAAACGCTCCTAAAGTCAATTAAGAAATAAGAAAAAAAAACATTAAAATTTATACATTTTTTAAAACAAAAAGTACAAAGATTTCGAAAAAAATTATTATAAAAAAAAATGTATAAAATTATTATAACAGATTGGTAAAAAAAATTTTAATAAAATCATGCAGCTCTTTTTCGCAGAGTACCAAAAAATAAAAAAAAATTAAGTCATATGAAAAAATTCAATTCTGACGCTCATAGACTACTGAAAATATATAAAATATTAATGTATTATTTTTTTATATCCATAAAGATATTAATAATTTAAAGGCCATATATCAGGTTATTACATTACTATATAGCAACTTGACTATACATAATTGGTACCGTCTCGGTAATTCGTTACTTTAACCAAATAATGTTTTTATAAGGTATAGACCGAAAAAAATGTTAACAAAATCGATTGAAGTGGGATAACAAAACTTTTTTAAGTGAATAAAAAAACCTTATTGATATTTTTTGTTAGGACAAAGGAAATGTTTTTGTTAGTATATATATATTTTGTTATTCATTTTTTCTTTATAACAACCTAGGGTAAACGTGGATACACAGAAAAAAATGTATTTGATTCAAATATTTCAAATTATTTGAAAAATATTTAATTGGTTTAAATATTTTTTATTTGGATCAAAAAAATATGTATTTGATTCAAATAACTTGAATTATTTAAATCGCATTTATTAGAACCAAATAAATCGTATTTAGTTCAATTAAATAATAAGTAATTGAATTGAATAAATGGAATATCAAATATGTGATCTTATCTTTCAGTGTCCGACTACTCCTGCTTATACTCCCCCCCCCCCTCTCTCTCTCTCTCTCTCTCTCTCTCTCTCTCAATATATATATATATATTTTTTTTTTTGTTGGCTCAACAATAAGTGCCGCAAAGAAAATTATTTTGTTAACAAGAAACTATTATTTTTCTCAGTATAAATAAGACACTTTTTTTCACTAATTTTCATTGTCTATGATGCAGTTCTTTGACCTCATCAGTACAATTACGATTCTGTGTCGCATAAAATTACGCAAATTATAATAATCTTTTGTTTAAAACAGATTCTGAAAAGAATTTTAAATATTTCAGGGGTAATAATTACTTATCTAAGGCATCATTTAAGTATCAGTACTGTTATTACTGAAACAGAAAAAAACATGTAATTTATTTTTACTATAAATAATAAATTTATTACACTAAATCTTTATAAAAAAAAGATTAACGTATTTTTTTTATAAAAGCTCAAATTTTTGAGTTATCAATTTTTAAAAATATAGTATTTTCGAGTTCTTTAAAAATAGACCTAATTTCAATGACATCTAACTCTAAAATTATTAAATGTAGGAATTATGGCCAAAATATAAAAAATTTTCAGTTTTTCATCGACTTTCAAAATATGTTCAAAAAGAATTCACTTTGTTTATTAAAAATGACGATTTTTAATAAACAAATTAATTTTTTTTAAATTTGGACACAATTTTTTTTACTTTTTTTTTATTTTTAAATACCTACATGAAAATAATAAGAAAATTTTGTAATAAGTTTTTGAGTGAGCCCGATAATCCTATTTGTATATATATATTTTGTTTAACCAAACTTTTTTTTTATTTTTTTTATTTTTCGAAATAAAATCCACTTTAATTTGCTTTTCTATGAGTTAAGTAAAGATTTGACCAAAAAACTTTTTATTTCGAAAAATAAAAAAAAGGAATGAAAAAAACAAATTTTGTTTTGCGTACATTTTAAATTTGTTTAAAATTTTAATTAAAAATTTTGAATTTGTATTTGCTTTGTTAAAAAATATAGTATGAAAGTACATTCGAGAATAAAATATTAATAAATTTAATAAATAAAAGCCTTTACCAGATGTTTCTAATTTATATAAAAATAAAGATTGTAAAGTGACCTCCAAATTAAATGTGATGCGGGTAAATTTCTAAATAATTTACATTAAAGCGGGAAATAGAGTATTAAGATGGATTCCGATAATAACTTATATGTTTTATAAACAATATGTATTAGAATTTTGGAAAAAATTATAGAAAGAATAACTTTGTGTTGAATTTTAAATATATATTACATTAAAAATATATTTAAAATATTATTGACAAATACATAACTTTTTATTTAAAAAAAATTTTAATTAAACAGAATTTTCACTTAAACTAATTTTATGTGATTCGAATTTTTAAATGACAAAAAATTTTAATTTGTCTGAATTTTTAATTGGTAGATATTTAAAGACGCTGAATTTTCATTTGTCCGAAATTACAAATGGCCGAACAAACAATTAACAAAATGATTTCG